CTCCCCCTCTGGTGGTGCGTTGGGTCGCGTGGTGGGGGCCGCCTCTGGCTCGCCCTGGTCCGCCCCCCCGTGTCGTTCGGGTGCCCTGGGCCCGTCTGGCGGCGGCCCCCGTTCCGGCGGCCTTCCCCTCCCCCCTCCGGCGGCGCTTTTCGGGCCTTCCTGTGGCGGTTGGGGCCCTTGCCCCCGCGTGGTCGGTGTTCCCCGCCTCTCTTGCCGCCGCCGCGGCGGGGCGCTGTGGTCTCCCGGTCCTCGGTGCCTCCCGGGGCGGTCCCCCTCGCCCCTCCTGGTGGCCCCCGGTGGTCCGGGCCGCCGTCCGCCTGCCGCCGGCGGCCTTCCGGGCTTTGTTCTCCCGGGGGCCTCCCGCGGCCGTTGCCCGGTCCCGCCCGGCCCGCCGGGCCGCCGCCTCCGCCGTGGCCGCGGCCCCGCCGCGGGTGTGGGCGCCGTTCGGCGCCGCCCTGGCCCCCGCCTTTCGGGCGGCCCCCCCGTTGTTCTGGCCCCCTGTCCGCCCCCTCCGGCGGGGGCCGCCGGGCCCCCTCCCCGCTGTGTCCCGTCCGGCTGGGCCGTTGTTGCCCTCCCCTGCTGGCGTGTTCGGGCGTTGGCCGGCGCCCTTTGCGGCCCTCCTGCCCCCGCCCCCTCCGCCCTCTCTGTTCGCGGCCGCGCTGGCGTCTGCCGGGGGCTCGCCCCCCCTCTCCCGGGGGGCGGTCCCTGCGGTCGTCCCCCCCCTTCCCCGTGGCCCCGCCCCGGGGGTGGCTGCGCTCCGCCCCGCCCTGCTGCCGGCTCTGGGTGTTGCGGGCCTGTCCTGGTTGCCCCGTCTCCTCCCCGTTGCGTGGCCGTCGGCCCCCGTCCCGCCGGCGTGGCCGCCCGGGGGGGTGGTTCCCCTTTTTCCCCCGGGGGCTCCGCGGGTGTGTGCCCCTTCCCGCGGCCTCCCCCTCCTCCGCCTCCCCGGGCCCGTTTCCTCTCCGGTCCTCGCCCGGCGGGTCCGGCCGCTTGTCGCCCCTCCGCTTGCGGCGGCCCCCTGCGGCTTCCGTCCTGGTCGTGGCCCGCCGGCTCCGCTTTTTCCTCTCGCCCGGCTCCTGGCGGGGGCCTGGGCGTCCGCTTCTCCCGTCTCCCTGTGTTTTGTCGCCTTGGCGCCGGCGTCTGCCCGGGTTCCCCGGGCGTCCCTGTGGGCGGTGCTGCGGGCGTCTGGGGTGCGGGGGTCTCTCCTCCGGGCCCTCCCCTCTCTGTCCTCCCCCCGCGCGCGCTGTGTCCGGGTCCTCGGCCGTCCGTCGGCCCCCTTTCCGGTGCGGGTTGGCCTCCGCCCGGGCTGCGCTTTGTCCCCCCTCCTGTTTGTCCTCTCCCTGGCTCGGCTTTCGCGGCGTCGTCGTGGGGGCGGGGGTCTGCCGTTCGGTGGCCTCCGGCTTGCCCCCCTGCTTTTTGCCGCTGCTGTGGTTCTGCTGGCTTCCTCGGTCTGCGCCCTTCCGCCCTCCCTGGCTCGGTTCGCCCCCGCGTGTGCCGCGGCTGGGCTGCGGCTCCGCCCCTCCCCCTCTGCGGCCCTGGTTCTCCGCCGGCCCCCGCTGGCCTGTCCCCTCCCCGTCGGGCCTGCGTCCTTCCCCCCCGTGCCGGCGTTCCCGTCTCTCGGGGTCTTGTTCTCGCGTGCGGGCCCCCTGGCGCGTGCGCTGGGTCGGCGCCTCGGCGCCGCGGGCGCGGTCCTGCCGTCTCTTTCCCGCCCCGTTGTGCCGCCCCGGGCGCTGCGCCCGCCGGCCCCGCTCTCTGTCTCCCGCGCCCTTTTCGTTCCTCCCCTCCCCTCTGGTCCTGCCGGCTGGGTCCTGCCCGCCCGCCCGCGCTCGCGGGTCCCCGCGGCCGCGCTGGGTTTTCTCCGCCGGGTGGCTGGTGTCTCCCTTCGGGCTCCGGTGCGCCGTTCGGTCCTCCGGGCGGGCCTCGGCGTTGCCCCGCTCCTCCTTCGCGTCGCCCGGCGCCCGTTGCGGTGGTTCGGGCCCCTCGTTCGGCTGCCCCCTGGGCGCCTCCCTCGGGCGGTGTTCCCGGCCCGTCCCGCTGGGCCGCGCCCCCGGGGTCGCCCTCGCCCCCGCTGGCGGGCTTCTCTCTCTTCGCTGGCCTGGGCGCGCCTTGGGCTCCCCCCGTCCGCGCTGGTTGCTGTGGCCCGGGCCCCGCCCGTTTGGGGCTCTCTGCTGGCCCTGCTCCCTCCGCGCCCCGCCCCCGGCTCCGCGGGCGCCGCTGGCTGGCTGGCTGGCTCTTTTCCTTCCCTGCTGCCCGTCCGCT